TAGAAACATCTGTTATTAGAAACGTGAGAAATTGATTTTTTCTTTTTTCTTTTTTCTTTTTTTTTACGAACGAATTTTATTCGTTATAAATGATTTTTAAATTTAATTATATATATATATATATATATATATATATAAAAGTAATATTTACTTTGTATTTCGCATATGTTTTCAAGTTAATATAAAGTAAGTAAAAAAAATTTTTTTTTTTTACAAATTATATTAAATAATCTACTTTTGATAATAACATTAATACGTTAATATACTTTTAATTTAATAACAAACAAAAAAAAAATAAATATATATATATATATGTATTAAGAAAAATCGAACGATTAATAATGAAAGAAGGGAGAAAAAAGTAAATAAATAAAAAAGTCAAGAAAATAACAAGAGTAGAGAAATAAAACAAATTAATAAACCAATCATAGAAATATCCATAGAAAAATGAACGATAATATTATTTAATAATTATTTCATAGAATCGAATAATTGCTTATATCGATCGATACTTTATATATTATATTAATTTTTCTTTTTTTTTTTTTTTCTTTTCTTTTCAAATTTTTTCTTAGGATGTTTCTTCCCTTTTGCAGATACCACACACACACACACACACACACACGCACACACGCACACGCACATACACACATACACACACGTACACACGAATAACCCTTTTTTACATTCCATTTATTTATTTATTTCTGTTTGATTAATCAATCGAATATTATATACATATATTAAATCAAAATAAATTCAATAATACAATTAGAATAATTAGTTATGTTAATACGGATAAATATATATAAATGGATTTCTTCGTCTATCACCTATATGAGATTAGTTTCGTTGGTAAAGCAAAGGAATTATATATAGGTTACACGATAGATATCCTATCTCATTTTGTACGGATAAAAATATAATAGATAAACTACGAAAACATTGTTGGTCGACAAAGATTAGTAAATCATTCTCACTATCGTCTTTATTAAACCATCAACGTGTAAGGCTTGATCAAACTAAACTTTGTTCTTTCTTTTCTTATGTATAATAATAATACTAATTCTAATTGTATTTGATATATATATATATATATATACCGGGAATCAACGTACCATATATATAGACACACACACACACACACATATCTAAAGTGTATCTACACAAATAAGAAAAGGAAAGGAAAGGAGAAAGAGAGAGAGAGAAAGAAAGAGGGAGAGAGAAAGGAAGAGAGTGATTAAATTCCAATATTTTATAAAATATATATATACATATATATATATATATATATATATATATATATATATATAAAATATTGATATAACATGAAATTTCAAGTTTGTTACGCGATTCTCTTAATGGCAATCGCAATGATCGAAGGTAAGAATATTTGATGAGATTTTGTTAATTAATAATTGATAACGTTAAATGTATAATGTAAAATTCCAATCGTGTTATTAAAAAATACGGCGAATTCTTTTTTTTTTTCCTCTACTTAATTTAATTTTTCTTAACAGCCGAGATAGACGTAAGTACAGACAATGTATTCGATAATAAAGATTTGGGATATATCGTGAAGAAGGAAAGTTTCGGAAATCAAGGACGTTCTCTAAATGATGATAATGATGATGATGATGATGATCATGACAATTTGTCAGACAACAAAAAATTTATTGAAATTAATGAAATTGATAAATTAATCGAAAATCACTTCACCATCATAACCTCCAACTTGAACGATACTGATAATAGTACTGTCAGAAACACCACCCTAAGTACCGTTAAAAACACCACCCCAACTACTGTTAAAAACACCACCCAAACTACTGTTGAAAAAACCACCCCAACTACTGTTGAAAAAACCACCCCAACTACTGTTGAAAAAACCACCCCAACTACTGTTGTAAAAACCACCCCAACTACTGTTGAAAAAACCACCCCAACTACTGTTGTAAAAACCACCCCAACTACTGTTGAAAAAACCACCCCAACTACTGTTGAAAACACCACCTTAAGTACTGGCAAAAATATTGAAAGCACATCATCAGAAATATCAGTATCAACCATTGCAAGTTTGGAGGAATATCCATATCAAGTTCATGGAGAAAAAGGAACATGTATATTGTCGAAGATGACGATTTCATTAACTGTGACGTACAACAATACAGATATGGAGGTATTTTATATTTGATAGTTTAAATATATATATGTATGTGTGTGTGTGTGTGTGTGTGTGTATATATATAATAAAAGTTAATAATAAAAAGATTATTATAATGTCGTGTGAGCAATGAGAAAAATTATAAAAGAAATATAATAATATTTAACTTTTCTTTCATTTAATTATAATATAATAAATTAATGTATTTGCTTACAATTATTATTTTAATTTTTAATATTGAATTTATATAGTTTATTTTTCTTTGATACAAACACACACACACATACATATGTACATATGTATAAATATATATATATATATATATACTTATTTATTTATTTATTTACTTATTATATATATTATCTTACTTTAGGCTACTAATAAAATCTTGAATCCATTGCCTTCTTATATAACGACCGATGGTTATTGCAGTGAGCCATATTCTGCTATGCAATTAACTTGGCCGTTCGAAGAACCAGAATCAACAGCAAATATTAATTTGACAATGGCAAAAATGAACAATATTACTTTTAGCTTGAAGAAAGACGATGAAGATTCTAAATTTTCAGTTTTTCAAATACTCGTATCGATACGTTTAGATCCATTTAATTTTCCGGATGCATTAGGTCAGTCATAATTACATTATTAACGTGCTTTTTAATCGTTTATCCCAACTGATCATTTTTATTTATTATTAATAATAATACCGCCTGTAATACAATTTTTCCTACATTCGTATAATTATTTTCTCTTTCTGTTATTAACTTTTTTTTTTACTTTATCTTCTTTTTTTTCCACCCCCCCTTTTTTCTTCCAACCCCCACTCCCCTCCCCCTCCCACCCCTTCCCTATCCCTTTTAAATCCTTCCTTCAGACAAATCTGTAAATAGAACTGGCAAGTGGAATCGAATCTTTTTCTTTTTTTTTCTTTTTTCTTTTTTCTTTTTATTTTTGTTTCTCTAATTCTTTACGTTTATTTGTAATTTGTTGAATTTCTTTATTTTTCCTTTTTTTCTTTAGAAATTTTTGTTTATGTTTTTAGAAGCAGACATATTGCAGACGACCGACTCGAATTTAATGTTATTTAAAGCTTCTGCTATTAATGGTAAATACAAATGCAATATTCCAATTACTGTTAAAACAGAATCGGTTGAAATAACATTGAACGACGTTGAATTAATAGCTTTCAATACGGATGACAATATTTCATCGAGATACGGTAAGAATTAAATTTTTATATATAATACATTTCCTTTCTTTTTTTTGTCTTGCTTTTTCTTTTTCTTTTTCTTTTTTCTACGAAATATTTTCAACCACATCGACCCGTTAATTATTATAAAGTAATTACGAATTAATAATTATTATACATTATGAATAAGTTTAATTATATATTAATAAAATTATCTCATATGTAGGAAAGTAAATATAATATTTATTATATTAATATTATATATATATATATATATATATATATATATATATATATATGTATATAATAGTTATATAATTAAATATATTTTCATGATCATTATATCATATAATATTATAGAATTATTATGATAAATATATTGATCAAAGTTTATTATAGATTATAATTTATTATAAATAATAATTATTATTATATTATACGATATAATTTTTTATTGCAAAATAATATACATATCATATAATTGTAATAATAAATATTAAATATTCTTGTAATATTTCAAAAATATTTAATAAAATTTTGATTAAATATCTTTCTATCTTATATATATATATACATATATATATGTATATCAAACGAGAAGGATTGTATTTAAAATTGATTTTTAAATAAAACAAAGGATAATATTTTTGAAATAAATCGAAGGATTATTTTAAACGAATAATAAATGATTGATTATTTATTTCAGAGGAGAACTGTATTGAAAATATTTATGAAACTGTGAACGCAGGAAATATTGTTGGAATAATCAGTGTACTTATCATTGCTAAAACAGCGATTTGTTTCATTGGATATATGATATGGCGACGATAAAGAAATTCGATTGCTCTTATGGACATTTTTTTAAAAAAAGAAAATAAAAAGAAAAGAAAAGAGGAAAGAAGAAGAAAAGAATATAAAAATAAAAAAAGATCATTTTTTTTTTTGTAATATCACAGGGAGGAAGGAAAGAAGATTATTTTTAAAAGAAATTTTTGAAGGAAAAGAAAAGAAAAGAAAAGAAAAGAAAAGAAAAGAGAAAAAAGAAAAAGGATGGAAGAAAAAAAAGAGGATCACTTTCGTTTAGTTTTCTTTGAGAAAATGGAAGGGAAGAAAGAATGAAAAGAAAAAAAAAAGAGGGAGAGAGAGAGAGAGAGAGAGAGAGAGAGAGAGAGAGAGAGAGAGAGAGAGAGAGAGAAAGAGAAAGATACTTGTTCTATCGCAATATTTATCCTGCTGTTTCTAAATGATCATTTTTAATATAAATATCATTATTGATACGTCTTTATATTCCTTGCAAAAATTAATATTAATTCATATAAAATATTACGTTTGTTAATTCGTCGATATTTTTTATCAATCATAAATGATAATGTAGATATTCGTTTTAAATGATTATCGACTAATGGTACATTAATTGCTAAAACGTATAAATGAAAAATCAATGAAGGGAAAAAAAAGCAATGTAGCGATTATAAAAAATAATCAATACGTTAATATTCATTGACAAAGGAAAGTAAAATAAAAGGGAAGAAAAAGAAAAGAAAAAGAAAAGAAAGGAAAAATACCTGCGAAGATCTCTTTCTCTATGAAAAAGAGGGCGGGAAAGAGAGAGAGAGAGAGAGAGAGAGAGAGAAAGAAACGTACCTTTAAAATTTAAAGGACATTGTAAGGTCACGTTACGTATGATTTATCTTGAAAGTTATTTTCTATTGTACGGATAGAAGCAAAACTCCGGAAAATGATTATACAGGATTCTTACTTACGATAAAATAGGGAGGATAAAGTATTGAATCGAAGGTGAATAGCCTTTCATACTACCACCACACAACAAGTGGACCTTTTCTTCATTTTTCTTGTAAGGTGTGTATATATATATATATATATATATATATATATATATATATGTATGTATGTATTCGAGCGAGCACGTGTTGATAGTCAGAGTATTCTATGGGATCACTTTACCATTAAGGACTCCTTTTATTTCTGAAATAAAAAATTTATTGTTTAATATTACGAATTATTATATATATGTATTTATATTTATATTTATATTTATATTTATAATATATTTATATATGATATATCTTATGTAATATATATATATATATATATATGGATGATTTGTAAGATCGTTAGAAAATTATTGTACATTTATATTACATATTATTATATATTTTATATAGAATTTCAAATTTGACACTTAAGGTGTTATATAAATTGTGCTTATACTTCGTGATCTTTTTTTGATTGTTTTGAGATCCTTTTTTTTCCCCTTTTCATTCCCACTTTTCTTTTTTTTTCTTTTTTTTTTTTTCTTTTTTTCCTATATCAAACATCATGATCATCTTAAGCTAATGTTCGTTGCAGTAAAATAAAATTATTATTGTACAATTGTATATATATTTTTTGTAATAATATTGAGATTTAATATTATCGAGGGTAATTTGATTTTCATTAATCGATAGATATGATTTTAATTGATCAATCAATCGATCAATCAATCAAATAATTAATTATGATTTTTTAATTCATTATTTTCTGCTTTTTTCTTCCTCTCTTGTTTCTTTTCCCTTCTTTCTTTTTTTTTTCTTTCTTTTCTTTTTTTTATTTTTTCCGATGAACGTGTATCTCCGCCATATCACTTTCAAATAAAATTAATATCAATTATTAATTATAAATCATTTCTAATTTCTAAGAATGGCTCTACATTGTACGCTTTCGAAATAGTTACTTAAATTTAAAGGTTACGAGAATTTATAAATCTCAGTGTGTCAAGGAGAGAAAGAGAAGGGGCACGCGTGCCCAGAAGATTCGGCCACGTGGCTGTGTATCTAACTTCCAAGAAACGATTTGTTTCTTCTCCAAAGGTTTTGCCCTTTTCTATAAGTTCCTCTCGGATTTCGGAAGTCATTTCTTTCCTTTTCTTTTCTTTTCTCTTTCTTTCTTTCTTCTTTTTATTTTATTTTATTTTTTTTTTTTTTTTATTTTACTTTATTCTATTCTATCACAATGCATTAATAACATTTATAATAAATTTTTATTCGACGAATTTTAAAAAATAAAATATATTTATCAAATATTATATACAAAATTGTACGACATATATATATATATATATATATACATATATAATAATAATATAAAATTATCTAACAATTATAATAAAAGAAATATATTAATGATAAGGATAATATAAAAAATATTATAATACATAAACAATATATATACAATATATTATATATATATATAACATTTAATTGGACAAACCTTTCAATACATTTAAACAATTGATATATATATATATATATATATATATATATATATGTATGTATGAATTTAAAAAAAAAAAGAAAAGAGAATCAAATTTAAAAGTATGAAATTTACCATAGACAAGAAATTTCTTTAATAATAGTTATCATCTTTTCTTTATCTTGTTTTTTCTTTTTCTTCCTTCTATTTTCTTTTTTTCTTTTTTTTTCATCGTCTGGAGAAAGCAAGCACACAGCATACAAGACGTTCTTCTTCTTCTTCTTCTTCTTCTTCTTCTTCTTCTACTCTCGGAAGTATGAGGGCGCAGATGGGATTGTGTTTAATGAAGTTTGGCCCGGCTTGCACCTGCCACTTTCGAGGTAGTATCTCGGACCAACGGCCGTTAGGCCGCCTCGAGCAGCCGCCAAGAAGAAATTGGCGGGAACTCAGTAAAATTATATTATAACTCTTGAATAGATCTTTGTTAATATTATTTGGACATTTAAAAATCCCTTTTCCTTCTTCTTCTTCTTCTTCTTCTTCTTCTTCTTTTTCTTCTCTCTTTTTTTATTTCTTTTCTATCTTTCTTCGTTCGATCAAATTCTCCTTCAACATTTTTCTTCCATTATTTCTTCTTTCTCTCATTTTTTTAATTTTATTTTTTTTCTTTTTTTTTTTCTTTTTTTAATAAACAATAAACACGATCTCGCACGTATAATCATCTGAAAAGTTATTATTTTAAATATATTATTCGAACGAAATATTATTTCTCTTCTTCTTTTTTTTTTTTTTTCTTTCCTTCTTGACATTTTCTTTTTTATAAATATATATATATATATATATATATATATATATATATATGTTAATAATTATGTTGTTACTATATACAATTATATAACTATAGTATCATGTAGTTAAGTGTCGTTGTGGAAAGAGCAAACAAAAAAGAAAAAAAAAAAGAAGAAGAAGCCGGACGATTCCACGCGTGATCAAATTTCTACCGTTTTCACTCCTCTCGCATTTTGATCGATCGTTCGAAAACACTTCCTCTTTCCTGTTTTTTTTTCTTTTTTTTTTTTTTTTTTTTTTATCAGATCTGAGAAATACGAGAACTTCGAGACATACGTTCACCTCCTCCTTTTTTCCATCTTCTTACTCGATTTACTTCCTAAATATGTATACAGAACGTAGAGATATTATAAATACACATATATCTTTATATATTCTCCTTTTGATGAATTACATATAAAAAAAAAAAAAGAGAGAGAGAGAGAGAGAGAGAAGATATTATTCCCTTATAATTTATATCACTTAAAATATCTTTCTCACTTTACTTAATGTCATTTGTAAATAAATATCAACAACTTTGTTTATCGTTCGAAAAGTAAATAAAATAAAAAAGAAAAATAAATAAACGAATCAAATCACGGTTCCAATTAACTTTTTCTTCACCCTTGACTCTGATCTTGCTTCTGTTATTTTTTTTCTTTTTCTTATTTCTTTTTTTTTTCTTTTTCTTTTTTTTTTTCTTCTTCTTCTTTTCTTTAATCAAAGTCTGAAAAATACAAGCTCGAGAGAGGGGATGATTTAAAAAAAAAAAAAAAAAAAAAAAAAAAAAAAAAGAGAAGAAAAAAGAAATAAATAAATAAAGGAGAAATAAATGAATAAGTAAAAACAATTGCTTATCATATTTTTATGAAGAAAAAGAGGAGAGAAAAAAAAAAAAGAAATTATTTGAATCCTACAACTTCTTTATGTTAATTCCTCTCAAATCATAAAAAAATGTCTGCTTTACCATTTATGGTTACTGTTTAAAATTTACAAGTCTTTTCGACTAGCGAGAACCCCATCCTACAAGCATTTACTATTGCTGTTATTGGTTTCAGGGGATAATAGTAATACTGGTGGTAGTATAGTAGTAGTATAGTAGTAGTAGTAGTAGTAGTTCTAAAAGTCCTGAGGCCTGCCATCCGTCAAGCACCATGAAAGGTTCTGCGCTCCTGTTTGTGGCGATTTAATTACCTCCCTTGGCATCTGGCGATCCTGCCTTCCGTTGCCATGATCTTCTTTTTTCTACACTCACTCTCTCTCTCTCTCTCTCTCTCTCTCTCTCTCTAGCTCTCTTTCTCTCTCTCTCTCTCTCTCTTGCTTTCTTTTTTTCATATCCACCCACCGATGTTTACAGGGTGACCTTCGGTTTACAAACCAGCTAACCCGACGACGAAGACGACGACGACGACGACGACGACGACGACGACGACGACAATGACGACGACGACGACGACAATGACGACGACGATGATGGTAATGATGGTGATGAAGGCAACGATGATAATGTTAAAAACAATATCATCTTTACTGTAAATAAAAAATTGTTATTAATTATTAATTTACAAATTACTTACAATTGATTTATATTAAAGATTAAATCTTTATTATTATTTTATAATTCTTATCTTCTTCTTCTTTTTTTTTTTTCTTCTTCTTAGATCTCAACGAATGCAAATAGGATGAATCTTCTAACAACAACAAATTAAAATATTGTATATATTTTTCTTCGATTCGATTTCAAGTACTATTTAAATTCGCAAATGTGTACGTAAAAAAGAAGAAAAAAGAAAAATGAAAATGATATAAATAAAAATAAATAAATAAGTAAATAAATAATAGACAAGGTTAAAAATTAATTCTCATATAATATATATGAGAATTAAAAAAAATCGATATTATTATATATATATATATATATATATATATTTTTTTTTGATCATAGTGATTATAAAAAAGAAATTGCGCTATTTCTTTATTTATTTGGATGATAATAAAAAAAAAAAAAAGAAAAAATAAAGGAAGAAAGAAAAGATTTGTGAAAAATCTTTATATATAGGACCGTTAAAAAATTCTTTCCGGGAGTTAAGAAATTTAGGAAGTAGATAAAGAAAAAGAGAAAAAGAGAGGGAGAGAGAAAAAGAGAGAGAAAAAGAGAGAGAATATATATATATATATATATATATATATATATATATATTCTCTTCTTTCTGCTCTTTCTTTCTTTCTTTTTTTTTTTTTTGTCTTTTTTTGCTAAGAGCTAAAAGAGACCAGCTGTTCCATGAGCACCACCACCAACCAATACCACCCTCACAGGGATGCTTATTCGGAAGATCCTTCGGGTATTCGGCTCCTATCTGAAGGAACTATCGTTGCGGAGGAGTTTTTCAGAGGAATGAAACGAAAGGAGGTTTTAGGTAAAGGGCAGCTGGATCGAGAATGCGAGAGAATGAGAGAATTCGAAAAGATCACCCTGTCACGCCTTCCTCTAACATATTGTTCCTTGGATATACATATAGACATACATCTGTGTGTATCTGTGCCTGTGTACGTGTAAATATAGGACC